AGCCCTCACCTCGAGCACCAACACCCTCAGAGTCCGCAGTGGCCGGTAAAGGAAGCGCTCTCAAGAGGCTGTGAGGACGACTGTGGGGAAGGAGGAGAGACCTGGGGGGGTACCGAGGGAGGGGGAGTAGCGTGGGACACACCAGACGGAGCGGGAACAGGGGGGGGTACCGGAGGAGCAGGGGCGGGAGGAGGAGGAGCTGGAGCCAGGAAGAGGGGAGGGGGGGGAACCGGGAGACCTCGACAGGGGTACCGGACGTAGTAGGGGACGGACTCGTCGAAACGGACGTCACGAGAGTCAAAGAACCGGTGGGAGGGAGGGTGGTAAAAGGTGAAGTCAGAGGAGTCCTCTGGGAAACCAAGGAAGACACAGGGGATGGCGCGAGGTGAGATCTTGTCCGCAGAGGTGTCATGGACAAGAGCCAAGGAGCCCCATACACTAAACCTCGACGCAACACCAGGGGACCCTGTCCAAAGACTGGTCGGTGAAGCCCCTGGCCGTGAGACGCGAGGCCAGAGGTTCAACTGGTGAGCGGCGTACCGAGCCGCGTAGGGCCACAGAAAATGGGGCGCGCGGGCGTGGATCATGGAGGTGCGGGCAATCTCCATGACCAGGCCTAAGCGGCGCTCAGCAACCCCATTCTGCTGTGGAGAGTCTGGAAGAGTCCAGGACTGGGTGATGCCCTGCTCAGCACAGAATCTGGCGAGAATGCCGGAGCGAAACTCACCCCCGCGGTCGGAGTGGAGACAACTGACACGACGACGGCGAGTACTCTCGGTGGCGAGCAGCCACCGGATCAGCGTAGAAGTCACGTCGGACTTCTTCGCCAAAGGGAACACGGTGGTGTACCGAGAGTAGTCGTCAACGACCACCAGAAAGAAACTCTCTCGCTCAGGGCCAAGACGGCTAGCGGGGCCCCAGACGTCTAAGTGGAGTGTCTCAAAGGGCTCGGTGGCCGGACGGAGGGAGGAGGAGTGAGGGGTGGCGCGCAGCCGACCCTGGACACAAGGACCGCACGGAGGAGCTGGGGACGGCGGGAGCGGCGGAAGGACTCGGGGGAGGCCTAAGACAAGACGCTGACTGGACATAGCGCGGAGACGAGGGAGGGACGGGTGACCAAGGCGGTGGTGCTAGAGGAGGGAGGGGTGGGCAAGCGACCGACACGAGCACGACGCAGCAACTAGACCGGACACAGCAACCTGACTGGACCCGGCTACCTGGTGGGACGGAGGAACCTGACGGGGGTCGGTGTGGAGGGTGTACAGACCGGAGCCCGGCTCCTGGCGAAAAGTGGCCAAGGGGGCGTACGTGTCACCGTCCACACAGACCGCGGTGTCACCAGAAGGCTCAACCCAGACCCCGACGTGCTGTCTCGCCAGGGGGCCCACACCAACCAGGTTCCTAGAGAACGTAGGAACGTGGAGGCCAGTCAGGGAACCGGAAGGAGCAGCTGGGCACGGGAGCGTAGTGGCGTGAGTCGCAATGACCGGTCCTAAAGAGGGATCAGACAGTGCTATGGAGATTGGCGCCGGTAGTGGAGAGAGAGTCGTGCGGTCGCGAAAGAAGCACTGCGTCGCTCCTGAGTCCAGTGTGAAGGAGAGAGACGCGTCCGCCGAGGGAGCACCTGTACTAGTAGCTAAACAAGATCCTACACTAGCACCTACTCTAGCAACAGGCAAAGATCCTACGCTAGGTACAGGAAGGTACACAGATCCAGGAGCACTATAGTCAACATCAGCATACATGGCATATGACCTAGCATCATCCATAGTCATATCAAAAACAGAGATACCACGAGCAAGAAGTGTCCCCCAGCGTGGCGGCGGGGGAGCGGAGGGGCCGTGGTGCAAGCGGTAGAGGTCGTCGAGACGACTGAAGCAGCGTGCAGCAGAGTGGTCAGGGCGGCCACAGTACGAGTCCCTACGTGGACCCGTAAGGATCCAGTACTCACAGGGACCAACGTCGCGACCGGCCGAGCGAGGTCCCCGACTGGAGGGGGCGGCACTGCGCCCAGTGCTCGGGGGACCCACAGACCTCCACTGCTGCGGAGGGCCCCACTGCTGCGGAGGGCCCAACAGCTATGGCTGCGGCTGTGGCGGGCGCTGCTGCTGGCCCTGTCGCTGCTGCTGCTGTCCCTGCCGCTGCTGCTGTCCAGGCGGTGGCAGCTGCTGAGAAGTCGGCTGCTGCTGCTGCTGGAACCCCTCACCACCAGTGAAAACTCCACCGTCGAGAGGAGGGCCGTCAGGTCCCGAGCCACCCCCACCACCACTCCCACCACCTGCTCCACCGCCACCGCCACTACCCGCACCACCCCCAGTACCCCCGCCGCCCTTCCCGCCCTTCTTACCGGCCTTGCCACGTTTCTGTCCGCCAGAGACAGAAACAGCCGCCGTCTCCTCAGAGGCAGAAGACGCGGGGGTGGCAAGGGAGGCAGTGAAGGTGGGAAGCTGTGGTACCGCACACCCCTCAAAGAGACGAGGAGGAGGCGCGGAAGAGGCAGAGGCAACAGCGAGAACGTTACTCTCAATCTTCGAGAGAGCAATCTCAAAAAGATTGATGGTAAGCTCAGTCGGGTGCTTCAGAAGAAGCGCGTCGCGGGCTGTGGCTAGGCGGTCAGGGAGGAGTGTGACTAGCCAGTGAATAGTGAGCCACATAGGGGGCGGGGCAAGGGCAAGCTGGTCCTCAGTGCAAGCAGCGCGAAAGCGAGCGTCAAGGGAGCGAAGGTGGGTAACGAGGTCAGAGACAGTCTCAAAGGAGGCGAGGTCAGGGTAGATAAAGGGTACGAGGAGGCGACTGAGTGAAGCAGAGGAGGGAGTGGAGTAGCGATCAACAATAGCCTTATACAGATCTGCAGCAGACTCGACCTGAGTGAAGTGGACTGCCTCTGTCGGCGGGAGAAGGTCGGTCAGGGCGAGGCAGGCAGCGGCGTCACGAGACTCCCACACGTCGCGAGCGAGGAACTGGCGCTGGTACTCGGCCTCCTGCTCAGGAGTAGGCGGTGGGGTAGTGGGCAGCGGGCTAGGCTGCTGGGGAGCGGTCTGAGTACCGGACGCGTGTGCGAACAGGTGCACGCCATCCTGCCGCTGGCTCTTAAGGTGGCGCTGCGCCTGCGTAAGCCACGTACTAAAGTCTATGGGTCTCCCCTCAGGGTCAAAGCGAAGTACTCGGGAGGTCGCCATAAGGGGCGAAAGTGGGAGAGCGAGGCAGCCAGCCGCGGGAGGGTGAGACAGTCAGTGGCGTGTGGGCAGGCGCGCAGGTGTGAAGGCGGGCAGGTGGCACGCCATGAGGACAGGCGGGTGGCGCGGCGCGCTAGCTGGCGGGCGGCACGGCGCGCTGGCTGGCGGGTGGCGCGGCGCGGCAGGTCTACGGGCGGGCGGCGCGGCGCGCTGGCGGGCGCATTGGCGTTTGCGCTGGCGGGCGCGCTGGCGTTCGCGCTGGCGTGCGCGTTGGCGTGACGCGCTGGCGTGCGCGTCGGCGGGGCGCGCTGGCGTGCGCGTCGGCGTGCGCGCTGGCGGGGCGCGCTGGCGTGCGCGCTGGCGGGGCGCGCTGGCGTGCGCGCTGGCGTGCGCGCTGGCGGGCATGGCTTCAGATTCGTTTTGGGCCACCCTTAGTAGTCATTCATTAATAAGGGAAAGTCAGATACAAGCCGGATATAATGGTTTTTCCAAGACTAGCAAATTTCGGCATGACCAATTCTCTATGAGGACGGTATATATATATATTGGTAGGAAGAGGGGAAAGAAGAAAGAAAGGATCAAGAAGTAAGAAGAAGTAGGGTAAAGAACAGAGTGGTAGGAAAGGAAGAGAAGGATAGAAGAAGGGAAAAGAAAGAGGGAGGTGGAAAGAGAAGAGGAGAGAGAGAAAGAGACTAAGGAGGAGGAAACACCTAGGGACCAAACACGGCAGCAACCCGCACGACAGCGCGGGCACAGCGTTTCAAGCACAGCCACTATTGTTTTCTACACATACGCATCATATATATATTGCATGTCTGCAGCACTCTCGAAGCACCCTGTGATATGGTGCCAGGTACCCTGCCCCGCACCTAGTGGGGTAGGTGCGGGCACCCACCCGTCGTCGGATCCCCCCGCCTGCCGCACCGCATGCTGGATGATACATTGAGCCTGCGCGCGCTGCAGCGCCACGGAGAGGCGTGTAGTGAGTCCTGCCTCAAATATCCGTGCCGATCCGTCATCCCCCCCTCCCCTATCCCTCCTCCGCTGTGCTATCCGCTTTGCGCAGAGCCCCAGAAACTGACGCAGCGGCTCGCTGAGAAGGCCAAAGGTCTCAACCACGCACGCGTAAAAGTGTGGTGCCGGCTGCAACCCCTCTAAGTGCGGCCCCCAGTGACGCAGCTTCTCCTGCACCCGCCTAGCTGCTGCCACTCCAATCTGTGTGGGGGTCGCCCGTCTCAGCTGCACGTTCCCCTCCCGCTGTGGATCCGCTATGGAGACATCCACAAGGACCATCAAACCCTGCCCAACGTCGCGGCAGGTGAGGTCTGGGATGCGGGAAGGGGTGCCTACGCGGCCTGTGCGTCCGACTGGTCCCTGCTGCTGCGCTGGCCGCTGCCCTGTCTGGTCCCTCGGTGCCTCCTCTCCGGTCGTCTCTCTCCCCCTGCCCTCTCCTCCCCCCACCTATCCTCTCCCCTCCCCCTCTCTACCCTCCCCCAACCCTCCCAACCCCTCTACTCTATCCCCTGCTGCATCTCTCACTCCCTGGTCCTCCCCTCCCGATCCCGCTGCCCCCCCTGCACCTCCGTCCGCTCTTTGCTGCTCCCGCTCCTGACCCACCCCCGGGCCCAAACCCGAAGGCGCGGCGCCTTGGGCCTGCGGCCTCCCCTGGCTCTCCTGCCGCCGTCTCTGCTGTTCCCCCTCCTCGCCCTGGCCAGTCTGCTCCCCCTGCCGACCCCTCAGCCCACCTGCCCCTCGCGCCACCCGCCCGCGCAGCTGATGCTGTCCCCATTGCCCCCCGCCACCCGGCTATCCCGCCTCGCCCCTCTACTCCCGCAGTCCCCCAGCCCGTGTCCCCTCTCCCACCACCGGCAGTCCCTGCAGCCTCGCTCGAGCCTCCTCTAACTGTGTGAACAGCGTAGAGTCCTCCACCTTCACCGCGAAACCCGCCTCGACCGCGAAGTCTCGGAGCATGAACTTCACCGTGTCGTGGATGGTCGTGGCGACGCCGAAACGTGGGCACCGGACCGCGTGATGAGGCACCGTCATGTCGTCGATCGCCTGTCCACAGGAGCACTGACCTGTAAGGGCTAACTGGGGGATAGGGAGACCAAGACGAGATGATGAAGCCACCTGCCACAGCGCCTCTGAGAGGCGCAGTGGATCGGCATACGGCACCGACTGCAACCACGCTCCTGCACCTCCGCCCTGAAGGGAAGTCAAACGGGCAAGGTGCAAGGGAGAGGTGTGACGGGCACGCACGGCCTCCAAAGCGTGCGCCTCCAGAAGGCGGCTCGCTCCTGCAAAAAGGGAATCGGGAGAGGCAGAAGCGCAAGAGGGCCAAGAGGGGAGGAGAGAGATGAGGTCAGGTGGGAGACCCTCTAGCGCCGTCTGCAAAGCCCGGTCGATCTGCTCTGGCTCCCCTGAAGCGAAGCTCTGCCGAAACACCTCGCCACATGCAGGGAGAGAACAAAGAATGGGTGCACACTGCACCCAAGAGCATACGTAGCTCACCGGGGCGATGCGTGCCATGCGCCGAATGCCGAAGCCCCCGAGGCGGATGGGGAGGAAGATCTGGTCTCGGGCGGCCTCTCGCACGTCCTCGCGACAAGCCCACGTCCCTGGCGCTAGAAGCTGCTGAAAAGTCTCACCCAGGCGTGCGTCCCACTGTGTGAAACTGGAGAGCACCGCGGGTGAGGGAGGGACGGTCCTCGACAAATACTGCGGGCGAGTGCTGACACACGCCGAAAGAAGACGAGCAGCTGTCTGGGGCTGGCGCAACCGCGGGAGCCAGGGTAGCACCCGCCCCATCCTCTCAAGACGATCTGGGAGGCTACGCTCCACAAACGAGACGCTGCCCACTGGCACGCCCGTCACCGTGAGTCCTCGGCGTGCGACCTCGATCCCCAGGCTCGTGAAAGCCTCTGCATCCCTGGACCGGTAGGCCTCTGTCTGGTAGACGAGGCACTTGTGCGACTGGACCGCAAGGCCCATCTCGCTCAAGCGCCTCACGATCTCGGCAAAATGGTGTAGCACCCTGTCTGGGGGACCTAGCACGTACGTGTCATCAGCGTACGACCAGAGCTGGACATCTCCCTCCGTCAGGACCGGCTCCAAAGCAAGGCGCTGTGTGAGAGCGAACAAGAAGGGGCTGAGGGGGTCTCCCTGGCGAGTGCCACGCTCCGAGTGCATCGTAACCACTCCCGTACCTGACCTGTAGTGGAGGTCCGAGGGCGTCCCGTAGAAGAGGCCGATGAAGGGGATCAGGCACTGGAACTCCGGACTGGCCTGCAGAGCCTGAAACATCCTGTCTCGGTGGAAAGAGTTAAAGGCATTCGCCACGTCCAGCTGCAGGACCACCCAGTCTGGGTGGTCAGCCAGAGCACGGCGGACGCCCCTAACCACGACCTCCGTCCCGCACGTCACCCCCACCCCAAACTGCTGCGACGCCATAAAGACTGTCGCCATCTGGTCGCGAAGCTGGAGACAGACTGCTCGTGAAAGAATGCGTACCAACACCTCGCCAATGGCAATCGGCCGAACATCCATGTTCGACTTCGCCAGAGCCACGAGGGTGGAGGACGCTAGCAAGGAGCGTGCAGCTGGAGCGCAACGACCTCGGAGCCACTGCTGGTACACAGCCAGGAGGAAATGGAGACTCTGAGGAAAAGCAAGAAAAGTGTCTCGGAGATGCTCAGCGACCCAACCGGACGGTCCTCCCGAGGAGCCCCGCGGAGCTGTAAAGATCGCGCGACGTAAGTGATCCACTGAGAGCACGAGGGCAGAACCCTGGAAACCCGGCAGCCAAGCTGGGGTCGGCCTCTCTGCTGGGGGGTGCTTCGATCGCAGACGCTGTATCGTCCCCTGTGTATCTGGGGCTGCCTCTGCGGACTCGAGAGCCGCGCAGGCCCGTGACGTCTCATTGCATGCTGCCAGGCGAAGGCAACGTGCAATGCGTCGCTCGTCTGCTGTGGAGGGGTCGGTGGCGGTGCGTGACCGACGACCTGTGCGCCGAGGGAGGGGGGTGCGGCGGCCTAGTGCATCTGAGAGTAGCTCATCCCACTCACCTCGACCAAAGCGGGAGATGCGCGCTGCAATGGCAGCCGTGTGCGAGCGGTCGGGTGGCGTCGCTGGAGCAAGGAAAAGGGTCGGCGCTGCAGCAAGGAAGAAGGTAGGGCCAGCAGCCTCCGGGTCCTGGGCAATGCGGGCTAGGATCGAACTGAGGACGTCGAGATATCCTCCGCGGACCCTCTCCGGGACACGCCGGAGAGGGCGTGCATGGATGCGCTCGGGCGAGAAGTATTCCGTCCAGTCCACCGAGTCGAGCGTCTGCCACTGTGCGTCGGTGAACTGTATCCCGGTCGCACGGGGCTGTGAGAGGGAAGGGAGGATCGAGGTGGTGGCATGGGCGGCCTGCGCCCTGCGAGCTGCGTCCGCAGGATGGCAGAAGGGAGTGTGGCGCAGTAGCGCGCGGCGGTTCGCGAGGGAACTCCTGCAGGTGGGGCATATCACGGCCTGGTCGGGTGAAGTCGCCGTGTCGGCGGGGTCGATCGGGGCCGTGGTGTCGGAACTGGCTGTAGAGGGGACCCCGTCCGCCGCCTGAGCTCCCCGAAAATCGCCTGGGATAAAGGGAGGAGAGGACTCACTGGCCCCGTGCAGGGGGGGTGTCGGCAGAGGTGGAGGTGGTGCCACACTGGATGGGGCTGGGCCTCGTGGCAGTACCGGCCCCGAGGCCAGGGAGGAGGGATGTGGAGGTGGATCTGGAGTGTGGGCCGTGGTATGCCCCTCTCCCTCGGTGGGGTGGTGCCGGAGTGGGGGCTCTGCTACGCCAGACGGAGGGGCATCAGCAAGGGCGGATGCCTCATACCTGACACTGGTGCCCTCCTGCGCCACGGGTAGTGTGTCGGCAACAGGCTGAGTGGGGGGAGGCACAACCACGTCTGGGTGCGAGTGACATGGCCTCAGAACCAGGTCTGTCTCCATCGGTGAGGGGAGTGACGAGCCAGGCTGGGTAGTGGGAGGGGTAGAAGAAGGGACCGAGCGAGTGACTTCCGCATACGTCCGGATCCGGGCCTGTGGGACTGATAGGGAGGGGGCAGCCGGGGAGCTGCTAGGGCCCTGTATCGCCAGCAGGTCTGAGATGGCAGCCCTCACCTCCTGTGGGGTTCCGGCGACCTGCCTGCCTGCTGGAGAGGGTAGGAGCGTTGGCCGAGTGGGGGATGGGGTGGGGCCAGCTGGCCAGGCGGTGCTCAGGCATGGTCCTTGGCCTAAGAGGCCAGCATGGCCCTCTCCGATGGCCATGGGCTGCGGTAGGGAGCCATCGACATGGGCAGGGTGGGAGGTATGGGAGGAGGAGTCAGTGGCGTCTGCCATGGCCACATCTCTCCTCCCATCGGCCTCTATCCTGGTAGCGCATGCGGCCGCCGCCACCTGGGGGGGGTGAAGACCGAGTGAGAGGCGGCCCGGGAGTGAATGAGCTGGTTCGTTCTCCTTGTCCCCTGGAGAGGCACACACGGGAGGCGGGTGTGGGTTAGATGGTTGGCCAGTAGGTGTAAGGCCTGGTGTGGGTTGAGCGTGATGTGGGGTAACGAGGGGCGCCTGGGAGGGGAGGGAGGGAGAGGGGAGTAGATTAGCTGGCTCTTTGCCTCCTTTCCCTTTGTTCTTCCGTCGGCGGCCAGCCTTGTGTTGGTTGTCCATGTCTGGCAATAAAGGAAGGGGGGGCTGAGAAGCCGACAGGGTCGGTGGGGGGAGGACGGGTGGTTGGCCATGTGGGGGGAGCTCAGTGAGCATCCCATCTGCCCCTATGAGATGGGCGATGTTTGCCCAACGTGGCCACTCGTGTGGAGGCGCACCGAAGGAGGGGGTTGTGTGCTGTAGGGAAGGGGCTAGGGCAGTGTGGAGGTTTGGCCATGGTGCCTGCGGAGGGGGGAGTGAGGTGTGAGGTGGCTGTATGGTGGAAGGGGGTGGGGAGGGGAGATGGGACCGCGGTTTTGAAGTTGTGCCCCCGTGCTGTGGGTTGGGGTCAGGGCCCCTCCCACTGGTGGCCTCTCCTGTGGGCCCCTCTACCGAGATGTCGTCCCCCCCATAAGCTAGGGGCGAGGGCCCTTGCGTATGGGTCTGAGCTGCTTGGGGGGGATGGTGTGAAAAGGGCAGCACTTTAGGTGAAAGGGTTGGGGCTGTGCGGCGGCTTGGGTGGTTAGGGTGTATGTAGGGTGTGGGGCGATGGGGGGATGGAGGGTGATGTGGCCCGGTTGAAGTTTGGACCTGCGAAATGTGTGTAGCTCCGGGTGGGGGAGGACCTGGTGGGGGGGGAGGTAGCAGGCAGGCAGGAGAGGATTGGGTACTTTTAGGGGTCAGGGATCAGGGCTCCGCCAGGAAGGCCAAGGCTCTGGCTGCTCCCCGTGGTGCTCGGAGGAACCCTTGGGGGTGGGGGCAGGAGTGTGCTGGTCTTGGGGGCGAGGGGAGGAGCGAGGAGGGGTGAGGGGTGAGAATGGGGGCGTCCTTGGGAGGCTCCGCCCTTACTACGCCTGTGCGCCCTCCCGGTGGACCGTCCGCATGCGAGGGGTCTGTCATTGGGGGAAGAGGGGGGTGCTGGTCATAGGACTGTGTAGGAGTCGGGGAAACTGGCTCGGCTAGGAAAGCCAGGGCCCTGGCTGCCCCACTGGATCCTGGAGGGGGTCCCGGAGGGTGGGGGCGGGGGTGTGTGTGCTTCTGGGAGAGAGTGGGCTGACGGGTGAGGGGTAGGGGTGGGCGCGCCCTCAAGGGGCTTGGTCCTCCGTACCTCCTCCAGTCCCTCCATCGGTTCACCTGCCATTGGGGGGTTGGGAATGGTGGGGGAAGTAGAGACCTTGCCATGGGGCTGCAAGGGGGCTAGATCAGCCTCATCGGCGGGTGTGAGGTAGTGGTTCAGTGGCCCGTCGATGTGCATCGCGTCCTCGGGTGCCCCTACGCCCCCTGAGCCCACACCCCCTGCTGGCTCTTCCCTGCCCGCCCTTTTTGCGGCCCCTTGCGCTCCATATGCCGTCTCTCTCCGCCCTGCTGTGGCCTCTGTCGCGCCTACAGCAGCCTCCACCGCCCCCACTGGCTGTGCTATGCCCCCCTCTCTTACTTCGGCTGCAGCTATGCCTTTTGTCCGTGTGGCCCTTGCTGTCCCTTCTCCTGCTGCAGTCACTCTCTCGCCTCCCCCTGCTACAACCGGGGCCGCGCTCTCCATTGCCGCTGCCTTCGTTACACTCTTCCCCCTTGCAGCCGCTATAGCCCTCTCCCTTGTCCCTGCCCCAACCGTGGCCCCGGCCGCCCCTGGTGCAGCCTCTGTGGCCTCACCTGCTGCGGTCTTTGCAGCCTCACCTTCTGCGGCCCCTGCAGCCCCACATGCTGCAATCCCTGCCGCTTCGACTGCTGCGGCCCCTGCAGCCTCCCTTTCCACAAACCCTGCGGCCTCACCTGCTGCAATCCCTGCAGCCTCACCTACTACAGTCCATCCAGCCCCCCCTGCTGCAGTCTCTGCAGCATTAAAAGCTGCTGTCCCTGTG